TTTCATTTTATAACACATTAATTAATGTAAGATGCCATGAAGCTTCCTTGAGACATTAAGTTGTGATAATGAATTAATCAAAATGCAATGTCTCTAACCACCATAACAAAACAAAATAGAATCCCTACATCAAATAATAATCAAATATATCAATTTGACATTAAAAATACTTTATGTATAAAATCAAAATGGTCTTGGATTTTTCCTTTTGAAATTTCGGACATCACATATTTGAAATATATCATATTTTATTTTTGACATCAATAATTATCATATAATTAAAATGATGAAAAATAAAATAATATATATATATATACACACATTCGGCGCTACATATATATATATATATATATATATATATATATATATATATTTGTTTTGTCAAAATATAATTATCATATAATTAAAATGACACAAACAAAATATAATTTTAAAATACATATGTATTTTCGAAATACATATATATATATATATATATATATATATATATATATATATATATATATATATATATATATATAAAATTATCGCAACTATATATTTAATATTACTCCCACTAGTGTAGTATACTACTCCCTTACAAGTCCTAAGTGTGTGACCCTTTAGGTATCCATAACACTGGCAATGATATTAATAAAATTAATACCATAGATAATAAGAAGTATCTAGCAACACATTATTATCCCCAGATTATGAAAAAGACGTTCATCTCGTCAATACCTTCTACGATACAAGACATTCTATAACTATTATCCTTCTGTCCTAAATGTCATGATTTAACACAAGACATGGGATGTGTATCCTTGTATAGTTAAATCAGTTGTTACTGAATCTCAAGTAGACTGGCAGGGATCAGATATTTATCAGTCTCTAGATAGCGACATATCTGGGCATGGCCATGCACTTTCCCAAGTCCTACTATTCAGTGGGCCCATTGACATTATACTTCTATATAGTAGAAGGGACAGATCCTGTATCTGTTATTCACATCTCTAAATATGCTTAGCGGCATACCCAACGCATAACTGTATGTCTACCAGTATTTCAGATAGCATTAGTTATGAATCAAAGCATACGGCCCCACATATCAGAGAATGTAATAACTTCAAGTCTGAGGATAGTTATAGCAAGGTCGATTTGAGAATACTCAGCCCCACATATCATTTGATGCGAATGCTTGGAAAAAATTTCTTGAAGCTCACTTCCCTCTTGTACTTCAATAGACTTTTTGTCAACTGAGTACCAGAGGGTAGTGAGCTCCAAGAAATTTTTTCCGAGTATTCGCATCATATGATGCTTCGAACTACGTATTCAACTCCGAGCGGTATGTAAGCTCGGACGAAGTATGTAAGCTCTTGGACAACAAGGATGATGAGAACAAGAAAAAGACCCAGATTCCTTGAACCAAACATAGTGTTAGAGTAAGCAAAATGTACAAAGAGGAGAGAAAACAAATATACTCAAATTTTGATGAGAAATCTATCTAATTTTTCAGTTTCAATAATTTGTAAAAAAAAAGATGCTTGAAAAGGTCTATTTTGTAGTAGTTGAAATAGTTTCGAATTCTGTCAAAATTCTTTCTAGTAGTCTAACATATACATTTATTGCTTTGAACACAAAATTAAAGCTCTTGGACACAAGAAAAAGACCCAGATTCCTTGAACCAAACGTAGTGTTAGAGTTGGCAAAATGTACTAAGAGGAGAGAAAACAAAATTACTCAAATTTTGATGAGAAACCTATCGAATTTTTCATTTTCAATAATTTGTAAAAAAAAGGTTGATAATTGAGTTTTTCGGTAAGTCAACCTTCCTAATGAAGGGTTAGTTTTCTCCGAGTGTCGTGTCTCTCGAGGAGTGGACGAAGGGAATTAGCTAATTTTTCTAACTAGACGAAGGTTAGGACGGGTCTGAAAGTCTTCTCGATTTGATTTGAAAATAAACTAAAGTACAAGGTGCTTTGTAAAAAAGAAAATAAATAGTACGGGTAGAGGACTAGACTTCGGGCCAAGGCATCATCTGAGTTAACTACTGTTGTCACATATTTAATCAATAATTGGAATAATAATATTTCTGTCACAAATATTTCATTAACTTATCCTCTCTCAAGGCAACATTAATGTGTTCTAAAAAGTTTGGCTTAGTTAATTTTATATCCTCATAGACAAGGCAAAAACTAATTTCCAATTATTAATTAATTTTTCTCTCGATATAATTAATTAATTTAACAATAAAAATAATTCTAGAACAATTATTCCAACTATTAAATAAACATACAGAGTATATGCCCAAATTTAGCCAAGACCCAAATATGGATATCAACAGTGCATAAAAGAAACGAACATTTTATTAAAATTGCAAGTATTTAAACTTACAACAGAGAGCAGAGTTGGAGCCACTTTGGGACAACCAGAACAAAACTAAATTAAAATATTAAAATATAAATGAGAAAAGAACGGAGAATGGAGTTCCGGGCCTTAAAGACCCGGATTGGAGCTTGATTGGAATGAAGGGGCGAAGCCCTCCTTTTATAGAAGAAAATTTCGGTCCAGGCCTCTGACAAGCGTGGGCCTGAGGTGCAGGCGCGCGCCTGGAGTTAGTGCTGCTGCTGATTGATGATGTGCGGCGGATTTGCACAATGAGGCAAATCAATTTCTTTCTTGCGTGAAGTTCTTCTCACCTTCTTTATATTTTTTTTTAACTTTGTTGATTTGATGATGCTGATTTAGAGTTGACACATGAAATTGGACGCAACTCCCTTGCTGCTGCTGCCACAGTAGGCCGGCCAGCCAGGTTGCGCCACGTGGCAGCACCCGGTTGGCCAGATTTTGACCCGGTCCGAAAATATTTTCTAAAAATACAGTCTTGCTCAAAATTTTATTCTGAACAACTTTTCCTTCTACTCTGACTTCAGATTCCGAACCAATTTGGGTCAAAAGAATTAATTCTGAATCAAAACAACTTTTTTTAACCTTTTCTTTTCAAACAATTTCTTTTTGGTGCTTTTTCAATCTGTTTGAGCTCAAATCTTTTGACGGGATGCATTGCCATATTTGAATGTACATTTTTTAATTCAATGATCTTCACCATCTTTTGTCTCCTTGATCCGTTGCATTCCATTTGCACAATCTTTTACCTTTTTGTACCATTTTTGACTCAATTTTTATTCTTTTTACAACAAGACATAACTTTTGTACACTTTTGCAATTAGGAATAAAAGATATAAAAACCATTGAGAAATTGATTTGTTTAATCCAAAATTAGACAATAACACATTAAATATAGAGAAGATAAGTACGTACAAAACGGATTTATCAAATTCTCCACACTTAAGCGTTGCTTGCCCTCAAGCAACAAAATACAACAACAAATGAAACTTTGGATCAAACACTTATTTACAAAAATATTTTGGAAAAACTATTGACCGTACTTTTAAACAATTTGTTACACAAAATTCTTTTACATTATTTAATCTTTACAAATGTAGAATCACTAGAAATAGCACCCTTTTTACAAAAAAAAGTTAGCAAAATATTTTTATTTGTTTTTCTAAAAGATGCACATAAATTAATTTTATTGGCTAAATGTAAAAGTTGTCCATTTACAAATTTGGATACTAAAGTCTAAAACAAAAGGGTTGTAAGTGTTTTGTAATAAATGCAAAATAATTTAAGGTCAAAAATATGTACGTTGAAAAACAAAAAAAAACTTTTCTGAAATTATCATTTATTCCTATGCAAAGAGTAAGTTTGAATTTTTTTGTAGAACATCACTTTGTCATGTTGACACAAGCAAAAATTTTGATCCTCATCCCATGACATAGAACCACGAGCTTTTGGGATTTTTATTCACTCAAAAACCTCATCACACGACATGGAACCGCATGCTTTTTGGCACTCACTCTTTATAAGTCTCATCATTTGACATAGAACCAAATGCTTTTTGACTTTTCAATTCACTCTAGAACTTGGTCTCACCAAAGTGTGTTCTTTGAATTTTTGATTTTTTTTTCAAAACTTACAATGCAATCATTGAAATATCAAATTTTTAGAAAAATATAGTGCTCATACTCAATTTGAAGTAGTGAAACAACTTCATTTTAAATGACAAGTTACAAATGTTTGACCTTAACGTATTTTACAAGTTAATGTTTATTCACTAAAACAATGATTTTCTTTTCAACACATTAGTATCCAAATTTATTTATTTACAAAACTTATTAAAGTTAGCCAATAAAAAGACTATATGTGCAATTTAAAGAAAAAAATAAAAAATTTTGGCTAATTTTTGCATAAGGGGGCTGTTAAAAATAATTCTACCTATGAAAAGAGTAAAAAGTGTAAAATAATTTTAAAAGTATCAATAGTGATAACTAGACCGATTCAGAGTATTCGGGATCGGGCAGAATGCTGCCAATTAGGTGCTCTTAGGCTCACCCGAATAAACCTTTCTACGAAATGACCCAGTAGGAATTGTGGGACAAGTTCGGCTCCCGAAGGCGTCACCCTTTGTGTCCACTTAAGTACCATTCCAGCTTAGACAATCATTCCGTACACGATGTAGAGATCAATATTAATATACAAAATGCAACAAAGAGTATAAAAATATTTTCAAAAGGTTTTCCTAAACAAATAAAAATATTCTGTACCAAACTCCAATCTCCCCACACATAGGGTTGACCTCGCCCTCGAGGTCATTAAGCGATAAAAACAAGAGTTTGGGACAAAGACAATTCTCAAGTTTTCTTTGAAAAATGATTTTACAAAAAATTTTATGCACAAAAGTTAGTCATTTCTCTTTTTTTTGTTGAGTCAAAATGGTTCACCAGCATTCCTGATTCCAAACTCCACCTGCACACATAAACACACAAAACGCGTAAAAAGGAAAAAAATAAAATTTATTCACTTGGGTTGCCTCCCAAGAAGCGCTTCTTTAATGTCACTAGCTTGACGTTAGCCCGTTTTTTACGAGTCTTACCGATCCGAGAGTCATAAAGTTTGACCTTTTTGACTCTCTTCTGATGCCACCTTTGTCCTGTTCTTTTGTAGTCAAAGTCCAGGATCTTTGACTCATTCCTGTGGCGTGGTGGCAACAGGAAAAATGGAGGATACTCGTCTTGGATGGGTGGTGGTGAGAGTGTCCTCGGTGTATCCACATCATTGGCCTTAATCGCCAGTACATGGCTCTCCAAGTATTCAATGGGCTGACTTTCAGTTGCGGGCTCGATGATTACAACATGTCCTTCCCTTGAGTCTTCACAATCAAAAGGGTTGGTGGTGGGCTCAAATTTCTCCAGAACAGGTTTCTCTGGAGAAGTGTCTTCAACACATGTTAGGAGGACAGATTCCTCCAACGTTTCTGGTGCAACGGGTGAAGGTGGTTCCGAGACAGGACCCTCGGTAGGCTTCACCTTTTGTACGATTTGACTTTTTGGGCTTTCAGGAAGCATCACCACTGTACCTCGTGCAATCATTTCTGCAAGTGTTATCTTGTTTTCGATATACAATGGTGATGAAGTTGGTTGATATTCAAGAATTGAGACATTGTTGGATTCAATTTCAGATTCTGTCTCAGATTCTTCATCCTCTTCTAGAACAACAATTTCCTCCAACTCTTCTTGTTGTTCCATAGCCTTCTTAAAGTCTTCCAGCATCTTTTGCATATGCTCCCAATATTCACGTTGTTCGTTATCTTTCTGGGTTTGGAGCAGTTGGTGTTCTTCTTTGACTGTTTTGAGAAATCGTTCTCTCGCCTGGATTGCATCTCTATTTGCTTCGATTTGCTCTTCACGAGTCAGAGAGTAATCACGGCAATTGGGTGGTTCAAATAATGAACACTCCATTACTAATGCTAGGTCAAGATTAAGTATTCTTTCCTCAGTCCACAAAATCTCTTCAATAAGTGGATCTAGCTGGTCATCGTACATTGGCCCTTGTTTGTCATAATCATCTTGATCACCATGAGGTTCATAATAATCCCCACAATTGTCTTGGTATGGAGAATATCCAAAGCTCCGAGACGGGGTATTGTATGGTGCTTCCTCATGGTATGGATAATAATCAGGTCCATTATTGACGGAGTAGTCATCATAATAGGAGTCTTGATGTGGATAATATGGTGGTGGTGATGGTGGATAGAAATTGGACTGTTGGGAAAATGATGGTGGATGGTTGGGTGGTTGGTAGAAAGGAGGCGGATCGTAGTAATCATCTCGAAAATTCATTTTCAACGATTACTACGGGTGGCTTGTGGAAAAAAGGTGAGAAGATCGACCTAACCGGTCTTCACCCAAGCTAATTAAAAAAATTAAACTAAAACCGTGCCACTCCCCGGCAACGGCTCCATTTGATGATTGAGTTTTTCGGTAAGTCAACCTTCCCAATGAAGGGTTAGTTTTCTCCGAGTGTCGTGTCTCTCGAGGAGTGGACGAAGGGAATTAGCTAATTTTTCTAACTAGACGAAGGTTAGGACGGGTCTGAAAGTCTTCTCGATTTGATTTGAAAATAAACTAAAGTACAAGGTGCTTTGTAAAAAAGAAAATAAATAGTACGGGTATAGGACTAGACTTCGGGCCAAGGCATCATCTGAGTTAACTACTTGGAATAATAATATTTCTGTCACAAATATTTCATTAACTTATCCTCTCTCAAGGCAACATTAATGTGTTCTAAAAAGTTTGGCTTAGTTAATTTTATATCCTCATAGACAAGGCAAAAACTAATTTCCAATTATTAATTAATTTTTCTCTCGATATAATTAATTAATTTAACAATAAAAATAATTCTAGAACAATTATTCCAACTATTAAATAAACATACAGAGTATATGCCCAAATTTAGCCAAGACCCAAATCTGGATATCAACAGTGCATAAAAGAAACGAACATTTTATTAAAATTACAAGTATTTAAACTTACAACAGAGAGCAGAGTTGGAGCCACTTTGGGACAACCAGAACAAAACTAAATTAAAATATTTAAATATAAATGAGAAAAGAGCGGAGAATGGAGTTCCGGGCCTTAAAGACTCGGATTGGAGCTTGATTGGAATGAAGGGGCGAAGCCCTCCTTTTATAGAAGAAAATTTCGATCCAGGCCTCTGACAAGGGTGGGCCTGAGGTGCAGGCGCGCGCCTGGAGTTAGTGCTGCTGCTGATTGATGATGTGCGGCGGATTTGCACAATGAGGCAAATCAATTTCTTTCTTGCGTGAAGTTCTTCTCACCTTCTTTATATTTTTTTTAACTTTGTTGATTTGATGATGCTGATTTAGAGTTGACACATGAAATTGGACGCAACTCCCTTGCTGCTGCTGCTGCCACAGTAGGCCGGCCAGCCAGGTTGTGCCACGTGGCAGCACCTGGTTGGCCAGATTTTGACCCGGTCCGAAAATATTTTCTAAAAACACAGTCTTGCTCAAAATTTTATTCTGAACAACTTTTCCTTCTGCGCTGACTTCAGATTCCGAACCAATTTGGGTCAAAAGAATTAATTCTGAATCAAAACAACTTTTTTTAACCTTTTCTTTTCAAACAATTTCTTTTTGGTGCTTTTTCAATCTGTTTGAGCTCAAATCTTTTGATGGGATGCATTGTCATATTTGAATGTACATTTTTAATTCAATGATCTTCACCATCTTTTTTCTCCTTGACCCGTTGCATTCCATTTGCACAATCTTTTACCCTTTTGTACCATTTTTTACTCAATTTTTATTCTTTTTACAACAAGACATAACTTTTGTACACTTTTGCAATTAGGAATAAAAGATATAAAAACCATTGAGAAATTGATTTGTTTAATCCAAAATTAGACAATAACACATTAAATATAGAGAAGATAAGTGCGTACAAAACGGACTTATCAAAGGTGCTTGAAAAGGTCTATTTCGTAGTGGTCGAAATAGTTTTTGTTAGTCGGTTTAGTCGTTGTGCCCACGCCTTAGAGGGGGGGGGGGTGAATAAGGCGTTTAAAAACTTTTCGGAGTTAAGTAAAAATGGTGTTGGCAAATGCGGAAGCAATATATAAAACGCAGAAATAAAAGCGTAAATAAAATGCACACCAATTTTATACTGGTTCGGGAACTCCCTACTCCAGTACCTCAAGGTTTCTCCTCAAGGATTTCCGAATCCACTAAGTCTCGGTCTCTTGAACTCCGTCAAAGCACCGCACTAGTTTGGCAAACAACCCTTGCCAATAGGATTCACTCCGAGATTTCACCACGGCTATCTCGAACCGTTTACAGTGAAGATTTAACGACTATCTTCTACCGTTCCCCCAAGGATTTCAAAGGCTATCCTTGAACCTTTACCCAAAGATTTATACGGCTATCCTCGACCGATACAATATGAGAATTTAACGGCTATTCTCGACCGTAAGAAGGTGTGTTTGAAGAACACAAAAGAGGATTCTACACAACGGCTAGAATATAAAAATGAAGAACAAAACTTAGCCGGTGTAGAAGGAAATTATACTCTCTCAAAAATATAGTATAAACTTATGAATATGAGAGTATATAACTAGAAACACAAGCTCAAGGTGTGTGTATAAAATTCAGGAATTTAAGGCTCTTGAAATAGCCAAAATATTGAAAATAATTAATAAAAGGATGAACACACTTAGAATAAAAAGAGAGGATGTTTAGAGCTTTGTTTCTTGTTGAAATATGAAGTATTAGGCCTACATTTATAGTGGAAGATGTTAATTAGCCGTTAGGAGGTGATTAGAGTTGAATTAATTCAAAAATCAGTAATCAGGAATAGTGTTCCAACGGTAACGGTAGCTAGGTCCCGTACGGTAGCTAGGTTCTCTTCTCAGGCCAAAACTCTCTGGCGGTACCTATACACGGTACCTATACACGGTAGGGGGGTCCCGTCCATATGGTAGGGGGGTCCCATCCATACGGTAGGGGGGTCCCGTATCAGATTAACTCACGGTACACCTTACGGTACCCCTCACAGTACCTAGGTACCTTATGACCATTTTGACAATTTTTTCATTTTTGTCCAAATCATTTCCAATTTTGTTTAAAACCTTTTGAATGTTTGAAAATGATTATAAAAGGGTTTTAAACATATTTTGTGAGTGTTTTTGAGCTTGTGAATATAGGTATATAAAATCATATCCTTACATCGGTTTCTACCTAAATTCTACGCTAGTTTAGTGTTTCGACTTCATTCTTGAGAACCGAATCTTAATGGATTCTTGTTGTACCTGAAACACTTAAACAAACGTCAAGCTCTTATATTGTTTGTCAACATCAAAACATGAGGCTTAGCAAACCAAGGCTAACAGTTTTGAATTCCGTCGATATTCTTTTTAGTAGTCTAACATATACATTTATTGCTTTGAACACAAAATGTAAGCTCTTGGACAACAAGGATAATGAGAACAAGAAAAAGACCCAGATTCCTTGAACCAAACATAGTGTTAGAGTTGGCAAAATGTACAAAGAGGAGAGAAAGCAAATTTACTCAGATTTGATGAGCAAAATGAGAGAACCATTTTCTTTTCTTTTCCATCTGATTCCTTGAACCAAACATAGTGCTATTTTAATTAAAAAATGGTAGATTGGGAAAATAAATATGGTTCTTTTGGGAAAAAATGGGTTTTTTAGTAGTCAACTAATTCTTTTGAAAATAAATATGGTATTTTGGGAAAACGAATATATTTTGAAACACCTACTCCATCTAAAAATTGTGAGTGGTTGAATTTGGTCAAAAAGGTCAAATTGGTCGAATTGTTGAATAAGAAAAAGTAAGATGTCTAAGAAAGAGTTGTACAAACACATTAAATCCCCAGGCACGCATACCTGGAAAAGATGAGATAAATTCAAATGTTCATTAAAAAACAATCAATTAAATTGTTGTTTACCGTCTAAGATGACGGTAAACTCCCGCCATAAAGGTGTTGTTCCCCACCGGCCTCATCACAAGCTTGTCCCCAACCCGCAAACCATTCGAATCAACAAAGTAATGCCACATTCTCTTCAGGAACCCATCACCAATACAATCAACCTTGAGTGTGCAGACCACGGGCTGCATGTTGGGTCCTATCAGAGTTACATCTGTTTTTTCCTCTTCAAAGCCATTTGCTGTGCAAAATTCTTCACTTAAAGGCTGAGACAATAACGGATTAAAAGTCATTAATTGATGGGAGGAGACTACACCATGTATTGCAAAAATTCATCGATAACTAAAAAAGCATACCAGCTTCTAGGACGACTCCCGAAAGTGTGATTCTTCCAACTTGCAAACAAACACGTAATCATCATCATCTATAACATCATCTGCATCTAATAATTGCAAATCACCGCATACATTATAGTTAGAATCCGAAAGAATTCGGGGAGGGGGGGTAAAATATACCATATTTGAAAGTCTTACCAGAATCATAATCAGGAATTCTTATTGGGTAGTAAACTTCTTAACCAAGGGTCGAAATCACAATGGCTGTCTCTGATAATTTTTTGAACAGAATATACCAAATATGTTTGCATTGGTGGTCATAAAGAAAGTGTCTCCATCCATTCTCGGCAGCGAATCGATGCTTGCCGTCATCTCCAAGAACAACTCGGACTGGATAGCACCCAATCCGAGTATATATATCCAATCTCTCCTCCCGTGGATGATAGCGAGAAGCAATGACCTGTAAATCATGAAATAGAGTTTAAAGGCAAGCATGCATGTGTTAGTCATATGCATTCCAATGACCTCTTACCGTGCCGGTATAAGCATCCCCTTTGATGACCACCACGAAATCTGATTGCGGCATGTTTTTACTCATAGTAGCGTTGGAGAATGTTCGTGAAGGTATGAAGAAAAGATTTTAGATAGAGGGAGTCGCAGCCGAAGCGTTGGAAGCGGTGGAAGCGGCGGAAGCGACGAGGAAAGAAGAAGAAGAAGATAAAGGCTGCGATAGAAATTTTGACTTTTCAATTCTCATTTAACATAAATGTGGCAGGGGACTCACAGAAAATTACAAAATTTTGTCTATATCTAATGAAACTTTGTCTATATTTGTCATATTTCAAATTTTGTACATTTTGGAGAAGTACGGAACCGTACTACATTGCCAATTCTCAGATCTATAATGTTGACTGTAATTTGGACAAGTAGGACCATTACTGTTGTGCTGACGAATATTGTTGTGGACCAATGTTGTTGTTGGGGGGACCTTGTTTCTAGATTTTTACCATTTTTTATAATACTCCTCATTAACACAATCTGAAGTGTGAACATAATTGTTACAACTACCCCTACAGTTAACCTCGTAACTCGATTGTTACATCTACTACGGTCCGAACTTAATTGTAAACACCAACAGGTACGACTATGCCACAGTTAGGCTCTTAACTACAATTAAGCTCTTAATTGTTAACACCAACACCTACGACCTTGATTCTAGATTTTTACTATTTTTTTATAATACTCCTCGTTAACACAGTCCGAAGTCTGAACATAATTGTTACAACTACCGCTATAGTTAACCTCATAACTGGATTGCTACCTCTACTACGGTCCGAACATAATTGTTAACACCAACAGGTACGACCATGCAACAGTTAGGCTCTTAACTACAATTAAGCTCTTAATTGTTAACACCAACAGGCACGACCTTGTTTCTAGATTTTTACAATTTTTTAAATAATACTCCTCGTTAACACAGTCCGAAGTTTGAACATAAGTGTTACAACTACCGCTATAGTTAACCTCGTAACTGGATTGCTACCTCTACTACGGTCCGAACTTAATTGTTAACACCAACAGGTACAACTATGCCACAGTTAGGCTCTTAACTACAATTAAGCTCTTAATTGTTAACACCAACAGGTACGACCTTGTTTCTAGATTTTTACTATTTTTTATAATACTCCTCGTTAACACAGTCCAAAGTCTGAACATAATTGTTACAACTACCGCTACAATTAACCTCGTAACTGGATTGCTAAATCTACTACGGTCCGAACTAAATTGTTAACACCAACAGGTACGACTATGCTACAGTTAGGCTCTTAACTACAATTTAGCTCTTAATTGTTAACACCAACACGTACGACCTTGTTTCTAGATTTTTACTATTTTTTTATAATACTCCTCATTAACACAGTCCGAGGTCTGAACATAATTATTACAACTACCGCTACAGTTAAACTCGTAACTGGATTGCTACCTCTACTACGGTCCGAACTTAATTGTTAACACCCAAAGGTACGACTATGCCACAGTTAGGCTCTTAACTAAAATTACGCTCTTAATTGTTAACACCAACGGTTTCATGAAATGGCGGACTAAATTTTCCCGTCCCGCCTTTTCATGAAATTGCGGACTAAATTTTCCCGTCCTGCCTTTTCATGAAATGGTGAACTAAATTTTCCCGTCCCGCCTATTCATGAAATGGTGGAACTCTTTTAAAAATTCCCGTCTATTATGATTTTCGTCCCTTTCCGCCTTGCTCGGTCTATATAAATACGCAACTAGCTTTAGGGTTTTTTCCTTCTTATGTTCCGTAGTGCCTGCGAAAATAAAAAAGATCATTATGTTTGATTTTACAGTAATCTTGGAGCGAGATCCCAAGTTCAAAGAGCAACTAGTTTGTTGATATATTTTTCGTTATATTTTTTAATTTTTTTAAAGTTATATTTTATAACTCATAAATTCTCACGATCTGTTGTAGGCGCTACCCGAACATGTTCAATGTTGTTTCCCGGATAACACAGTTGTGACTCTCCATTCCAAACGAGCGCCACACACTTTTGAAGTAAAGGTTCAAGCATGCAGCCATGGAAATATGTTCTTCAGGGAATCATGGCCAGCGTTTGTTGAGAATCACGGTCTCAATAAGAGTCATGTCCTGTTTTTTGATTATCTTGATGGTTGTGATTTTCTCATCCATAATTTCCTTTCACTGCTCTTTTAATTACAAACTTCCATTAGTCATTGAAAGTAACGCAATTTATAAAACAAGAATGTTTTGAATTCATCCTCGAACACATTCAAATAAGAGTCGAAATGGTTGAAATTATATTCTCAAATAATAATATTTAAAATTTAACATTATTATAAAAAAATTTACCCTTTATGGAATTTTCAAATAAGAATCGAAATAGTCGAATTATTTGTTAAGGTGTAAAAGTACCATTCAAAATGTGGTCAAATATTCGTCGAGACAGTCGAATTATTTATTAGGGTGTAAAGGTACCATTCGAAATATGGTCAAATATTCGTCGAGACAGACGAATTTTATTATTATTATTATTATTATTTTTATTTTTATTTTTATCAATTTTGCTAGTTTTAGTATTTTTATTAATTTACAAAATTCAATTCACATTTAAGCTAATGAACACTTAGAAATTAACGAGAGTAATAAAATCTGAATTGACCACTATTCATCTACCCGAACTGAATGCAAACCGTTCACACGTATATTCATACATGTTATTACTTATTTTTAACTTAACAAGTCATCTCCTAAGTCTTAAAAATTGAAGAAAATTTTTAAAGATGACTGATCGCATTCTGATGTTCGTATTCCACGCTTTAATAAAGTTCTATCGTGTAATCTATTATTTTATATAACATGCATTCGAATACGTTCCAAATGTAGTCGAAATGATCGAAATTTTATTCCTCTAGGATTATTATTATTATTATTATTATTATTATTATTATTATTATTATTATTATTCGCGTTAGTGAATAATAAAGACCGAAATTTAAACCTTATTTAAGAATGCCAACCGTTCACACATATCTTTATCTATCAGAATTGAATGCAAACCGTTCACACATATCTTCATTCATGTAATTAATTACAAATTAGGGTGTAAAAGTCCCCCTTCGTTTCCATTCAAATATTAGTCAAATAAAAGTCACTTCGAATACATTCAAACATTCAAATACGCCCCCTCCCTATAAATACATTGCACCCTCTTTGCATTATAAACACACTTTCTTCAATGTATTCCATATTTTACAAGCCTATTTCTTTACAATCATCAAAACTTCTCACCTTTCATTCATTGATTGATAGGTATGGATCATTCATATACGTTGTTCGTAATGGTTTGACTCGATTTTGTAAAACGGTCCTAATGGTTATCTCGATGAGGCAAAACGGTCATAATGGTTATCTTGTATACCATTATCCGTTTTATCTCATACTGCAGAAGATGCTCTACGGTATGGATATGGTTATTCTCGTGTTTTCCACAAGGAAACAACACAGAATCAACCATGCTCTACTCCACTGCAGGAAATGTTCCATTATAGGGAAGCAATTGGTGTGGTTATTCTCGTGTTTTCCACAAGGAAACAACACAGAATCAACCATGCTCCACTCCACTGCAGGAAATGTTCCATTATAGGGAAGCAATTGGTGTGGTTATTCTCGTGATTTTCACAAGGAAACAACATAGAATCAACCATGCTCCACTCCACTGCAAGAAAATATCTATTCTAGGGAAGCAATTGTCATGGTTTTTCTTGTGTTTTCAAGAAGGAACCAACACAAAATCTACCATGCTCCACTCCACTGCAGGAAATGTTCTATTCTAGGAAAGCAATTGACATGGTTTTTCTCGTGTTTTCAACAATGAAGCTATTGGCATGTTTTTTCTGTGTGATTTTTATGTAATTTTATATGAATATGTTTTAGAACGTAATCCCGTAATATTAGTTACTCGTGTTTACATGCAACTCCATGCAATTCCATGCAATCATATGATCCATGTAATAAGGGTAATAAAGTCCCTTCGAAACGCATTCAAATATTAGTCGAGACAGTCGAAGTTTTATTCATTTTGGATATTTGTTTATCTCAACGGCCCTGTCTATTATTATTATTATTATTATTATTATTATTATTATTATTATTATGTTAATTAATAACTAATTACGGTGGAAAGACTTTTCGAAATGCATTCAAATTAAATATTATTCGGGCCAGTCGAAGATTAGTTTAGATATAAAAATATAAATATTTTTAATACCTTTTTTATATTTTAATTTTATTTTAGTGTTTTGACCCCTCTTCATCTTCCCGAATGAGTGCAAACCGTTCATCCATGCAATTAATTACTACTTACCCCCTTTTTTCTTTTTTCCAAGCACACTGAATCCTTCCAACGTCCAATGTATGTAATATTTTACAAGCCAACCCCACCTCTTTAAATTCATATTCTATCCCCCCTATAAGTATCCCACTTACCATGTTTTCATTATCAGTTCTATGTGATTTTTATGTAATTGTATATGAACAAGTTTTAGAATGTAATCCCGTAATATTAGTTACTCGTGTTTCCATGCTATCATGTGATCCATGTAATAAGGGTTTTAAAGTCCTTTCGAAACGCATTCAAATATTAGTTGAGACAGTCGTAGTTTTTTCATTTTGATATTTGTTTATCTCAACGGCCCTCTCTATTATTATTATTATTATTATTATTATTATTATTATTATTATTATTATTATTATTATTATTATTATTATTATTATTATTATTATTATTATTAATGACCGAAATTAAATCTCATTTAACTTCCTGAACTCTTAGAAATTAACGAGAGTAATAAAAGCTGATTTGACCGCTCTTTATCTACCCGAATTGAATGCAACTGCTCACACATATCTTCATCCATATTAATTAATAACTAATTCTAAAGTCCCTTCGAAATGCATTCAAATATTAGTCGGGATAGTTGAAGATTATTCATTTTGAATATTTGTTTATCTCAACGGCCCTCTATATTATTATTATTATTATTATTATTATTATTATTATTATTATTATTATTATTATTATTATTAATTCTTATTATAATTAATAATAATAATAATAATAATATTATTATTATTATTATGTTTATTAAGGTATTCTAATTAATGACCAAAATTAAAAGCTCATTTAACCTCCCGAACTCTTAGAAATTAAAGAGAGTATTAAAAACATCTTTTGACCGCTCTTTATCTCTCCGAATTGAATGCAACCGCTCACACATATCTTCATCCATGTTCATTAATAACTAACTACGGTGTAAAGTTCCTTCGAAATGCATTCAAATATTAGTCGGGACAGTCGAAGCGTAATTCTTTTAGAAAAGTTATTTAATTCAATGGCCCTCTCTATTATCATTATTATTATTATAATTATTATTATTAGTATTATTATTATTATAACATTGTTATTAAAGTTTTCTAATTAATGACCGAAATTAAAAGCTCATTTAACCTCTTGAACTCTTAGAAATCAACGAGAGTAATAAAAACTGATTTGACCGCTTTATCTACCCGAATTAAATTCAGTTCGAAATGCATTCAAATATTAGTCGAGACAGTCGAAGTTTAATTCTTCTAGGATATTTATTTATCTCAACGGCCCGCTCTATTATTATTATAATTATTATTAATTATTAATTATTAATTATTTTGTTTTTCCCAAGCACACTCAATCCTTCCTTCCAACAATTCGTTTTCTCACTAACCATATTTCAATTCGTTTTCAATTCGTTTTCCAAACACCTTTATATTTATCTCACTTACCACTTTATATTTATCTCACTTACCATATTTCAATTCGTTTTCTAAACCCCTCTCTCTAAATTCATATTCAATCATCCCTATAAGTACTCCACTTACCCTACCTCTTTAAATTCACATAACCCCCCTATTCCACTTACCATGTTCTCATTATCTACACACTTAGAATCCTTCTCTCTAAATTCATATTCAATCACCCCTATAAGTACGCCACTTACCCCACCTCTTGAAATTCATATATCCCCCCTATCCCATTTATCCTATTTTCATTAATGTATTCCATATCTTACAATCGGGTTTCTTTACCCACATCAGAATTTCTTATCATATCCTACAATCATGTTTCTTTACCCACATCAGAATTTCTTACCTTTCTTTCATTGATTGATAGAAATGGATATTTCAAGTACGTTGTTTTTCTCTAACTGTCGTAATGATTTTTTCGATCAGATAAAACGGTCGTAATGGTTTTTTCGATCAGATAACTCATCACTCTACTGCAACACATGATGACGAACTGTGCATGCGTGCTGCAGTAGAGGAATGGTGTTGTCTGATTAAACAAACGGACATTATAAATGCAAGCCAGACCCAATCTCCAGATCTAGGGGAATGCTAGCAGGGGTAGTAGCTTGTGTAGAGACCGAAATATTGAAGAGATCAAAAAGAAATTACTCAAAGATCGATCCGAGCTAAGTTCATCGAATTATTTTAGATATCCCAGAAAGGGAGTCAAGCACGACGAGGCAGCACCTCTCAAAGTCAGCCTTGACACAGAATCAATGTGTACCCGTACCTTTCAAATAATATACGTACTTAGTGTTCTTTTTCCAGGCTTTGGTTTTAAATACTTCTGGCCCCTCGCTATATGTACCATCCACAATCTTTTCAATGGGTCCAGACAAAACAGGGTATTCTTGGTCATGCGCAAAAGAGTTCACGTACGTTGTGAATTCAAAAGGCGCAATGACAGAGTGTCCATCGTCATTGCATAAACATCTTCTTAGGACGTAAAGGTACTCACTCAGATGCTAGTTAACAAACAAAAGTATGTTATTAGAAAACGAAAGATATAAGCATTGTTTGAGTACGAAGAATAAAAGGTTAATGCAACTTACAGTATTCGCTACCCAAAGACCTGGAGTGATAAGGTCAGACCACCAGGTTTTCACATATTCCTCATGCTCCTTGTGCTGCTCGAGGTAGCATTGTACAGGGCGGTCAGTTTTAATTGCTTTTGCGATGAAGCTCTTAAATTCCAAAAGATCTCCTTTAGTTGGCGGCTTAGATAAGAGTTCATCGGCTTTCTTTTTCTTCCTCCCGTCCGTTGTATGTGGAGACTTCAAACTGGCTGACTTCGTTTTCAATCTCTAAAATAAAAAAATAAGTGAATTCGAATTCTTAAATCTTCGACTCAAATTTGAAAGCACTTGAAGTAAGATACCAAACCTTTCCATGCACATGGGCATCAATAATTTCAGCCTCGTCTCCCAATTCCTTCGGGGGAGAAACGACCTACATTAAATAGAGTGCAAATAAACATGTTTTAAATACTTTGAAGATATTGACTGCATTTCGAATGCATGAAATTTAGAATTTTACCTTGTCCTGCAGAGGTTTAATAGAAGCAGCAGCGTCTATTTCCATTACCTCATGGCTAGACTCAACCTACAGATAATTCAAATTATTTCTAAATCTTTGACTCCAATTCGAAAGAACTTGAAGTAAGATTTAGAATTTTACCATTTCCTGCAGAGGCTTCATTGAGGCAGCAGCTTCTGTTCCCATTGTCTCATGGGTAGACTCAACCTACATACAAGAACAAAATTATGAATCTATCCATCATATTATATCCTTTCATATTACGAAAGACAATGGTGGTCCCGAAGTGGTGAGTTACAAAGTCTAGAGGGGGGGGGGGTGAATAGACTTTGTTACAAATTTAAAAACTTTTTCGTTTCTTTTGAAAACGTGAAAATGAGTGTTAATCTAGAGTTCTTGTGAACTTTAGATTATGTGCGGAAGTTGGTGGGTAGAGTGAGCAGTAATCAATATGGATGGGTTAGTTTTCTCAGTTAATATAATTGCAAGTAAGAATAAAGATAAAAGAGAGAGACACGCAAATTTTAACACGGTATATCTTCGCAAGCCAATGTTGCTACTACACTCGTGCTGGCTTTGTTGTTCCTTCGAAGGTCACGCTTCTTCAACAACTGCAAGGTCCGAACAATAGGACTTGCAAGACCAACTTGTAAGAAAGTTGACCTACCCCCTTTCAATCAATAAGTTTGATCAAACGTTGTATCCTTCAACGTGGTGTGGTACTTGAGGCAAGGAAACCTTCAAGTATTTACACTATAGCTTTTTGGAAGGAGGAGAACTTTGCTTCTGGATAAGGAGTTTAGAAATCTCTCTTTATCAAGCTTTTTGGGCTAACTGTGAATGAGGTAGCCTCTTTGTGGTTGTTCTTCTTATCGTTGATGAGTTGTTGTATATATTTCTCCATTCTTCCAAGGATGCTATTTATAGCTGGATTGGATAATCTATTCGTTGCATTTGCTGGCTTCAATTTTGAATGAAGATTGTGATTTGAAGATTCCTCATTGGAATGGGTGTTTGGACATACCCAATTGTTAAAGGAGGGATTCCATTTTCCATAGAATCCGTCTTCTAGTTGTTGTTCAAGTATTCTGGACTGTAGAACTTTACTCTGTTTGTCTTCTAGTGCTTGTTTAGGAATTCTGGATAGGTTCTTCAATTTTTAGAGGTCCAGACTTTGTCTTCGAGTCATTTGTTCTCGAATCAGCATGATTATATTCAATCTAGCCGTTGAAAGTCAAGAGATTGATTTTTCCTTACCAACGGGTAGAATTTCTTCATTCAAGACTTAAATAATTTTCTAAGTCTTTTCTCACTTGTCCGCTTTTTGAGAATTCCGGTCTTCCTTGAGGCATCCAGTTCTTAGCTGACAAATCCGGAAGAGTCATACTCAGTCTTCCGGGTGAGAAAGAAATCCGCGCTAGTCTTCTTGTAACGCCCCGAAACATACCCTAGAATTATTATTAAATAATTATTCGATTAAACAAATTTGTTTTGATTATTATTGGGCTTTGGGCTGATATGAAATATTTTTTTATATCCAATATCAAAATCTGGATAAGTCTAATTGAGATAAATCCAATATGTGGACTATTTGTGTGGTCTTGATTGGGAACCTGAGACCCAAATCAAGAATAAATAATTTAATTAATTATGATGTGAACTTTGTAATGATTTATTGAAATAAATCATGAGAATAATTGATATGAATTAAATGAGAGAACCTTTTATGAGAAAGGTCAATTAAACTAATTTTGACTCTGTTAAAGTCAAACACCCAAAAATATGATGTCGGAAAAAGTATTACAAATAAATATAAAAATTATATCGTTAGATAGAGTTTAACTGCCCGATCGCAACGGTGCAAACGGAATTCAATTCGGAGAAAGTTGGACCAAAAAGTGTACCCCGACTGGAACCAAAATTGGTCCCAATCAGGGACACTGTGCGAACGGCGCCTCCTTCCCCACTACGCCGATCGCAGAGTCATAGTTGTTTTCTTCTTCTCTCCTTCTCATTATATAAGAAAACCCAACCTTCTCATTTCTTCACCATTCTTCTTCATTCTTCTTCCATTGTGTTCTTGAGAGTGTAAGGAATATTGTGGTGCTGCCAATTTGGTGTGAGGTCGCCGGAGTTGAGAGTAATCATCGCCGGAAGTTTCGCCGGAAAATATCTAAAACCTTCGTTAAGCTTCGAGGTAAGCCCGTAGATATATCTAGTGACTAGAATGTTCGTATAGATCGTTTTTACGTTCATAAATGGTCGTTTGGTTGAGTTTTGTGTTTGACATAT